GGGGGGGGAGGTGGACTCCGGGCTGGTCAGTCGGTCCTTGGGGCGGCCGGGCGGGCAGGTTCTCCTGGACTGCGGTCAGAGGGAGGCGAGCGGCGGCCGGACTCCGTCAGAGAGAGAGGAGCTGCGGGGAGCAGAGATGAGGATGGAGAGCCGGGGACGGTGCGGTTTATGGGCAACAGGAGCGCGCGCCCTCTCTCTCTTTCTCTCTCTCTCTCTTTCTCTCTCTCTCTCTCTCTCTCTCTCTCTCTCTCCCTACTCTCTCTCTCTCTCTTTCTCTCTCTCCCCCCTCCTGTCTCACTCCGTCTGTCAGTCTCGCCCACTCAGTCACGGTCAGTCACCAGGGAGCAGACTCCTGCGTTTGGACAGGGAGAGAGGCTAATGGCTCGTGAGAGGAGGGATAACCTGGAAGCCTCTTCTCAACCTTTTCACCCCAACAGGGGTCCCCGATCCCGGGCATTCATTCACACACATTAAACCAACAGATTCTAACCCGAAATGGCATTATACCCACTTAGTTTCAGACATTAAATGTCAGAATTATTTGATTTTTTTGTTGATTTTAATAGACCCACACTTTGCACCCGTTAATTAATTTCCAAACATAACACATGCATGCAAGGAATAGAAAATAACATTTAAGAAATCACCTTTTCCGGTACAGGCTGTGACTATTGCTCTTCTAATGGTTCCACATAGCAGCATTACGCACAGTCATTACATTTCTGGGATGTTTTTCTTTCATACATACATTTTCCTTCACACATTCATACATTACTCTGTCCAGCCTTCCTGTAATTCTATTTTGGACCACAAGAGGGAGCCTGTATCAGCCTGTATTGATGCAGCGTTGAGAACAGTGAAGTCTTTAATGCCTCTTTCCCACAAATGTCTGCATCTGAGAATGGTCAGTGAGAATGGTTTTGACCCGGATCTCTACACCAAGCCGTGCACTTCAGCCATAGGTGTTCAGTAAAATCGGACTGTTGGCGTTATATACTTAGTTTAAAACACTTATCATATAGTAACTGACATTGGAAGTATTGGAATTCCTTTCCCTAGCATTTCTAGAATTTTAATTCCTGTTATCATTTTTAACAGGGTCCCCCCTCTGGATATCCCACTGACCCAAAAAAATGTGCATTCGGTTAATGAAACTGAATGGCAGTGGGTGTGTGGTTGTGTGTCTCTGTGCGGCCCTGTGATGGATTGGCGGCCTGTCCAGGGTGGACCCCGCCTCTCACTCAGTGTCAGCCGGGACAGGCTCCAGCCCCCCCCCCCCAGACCTTGCTAAGACTAAGCAGTATAGATGATGAATGGATGAATTGTAGTTTTTTGCCACTTTTATGAATCTGGTGGCATTAGGTCAAAAGGAAAAGAAACCATAAGGTCTGACCCATAAAAGTCTGTGTACCAACTGAAACTGTCACACACAGCTGCTGGAAACTCTGAAACGTGATCAAATACCTCCAAATATGTGACATTTTGTTAACATTCAACACAAAATTTTATGTTTAAACAAGTTTTTTTTTATGTATATATAACGGTTTCATTGCAGACATGCTCTCTCCATTCAGACTTTAAGAGAGAGCTAATTACCAAGAAGAGATTTTGCATGCTTTATAGATTTTTAAAAAAAGATTACAGTGACTTTTTCAATTGCTCCATTTCAGTCTCCACATACATTATGTCCAGTCTACTTCCTGCTAACAGCTCCATGCCCAACAAACGGCACAAAGGTGTCACTCTGGGTTCATTTATTCATTCATTTTTTTTAAAGACTTTGTTCTAAGTTTGAGTTCTCTCCCTAGTTTTGTGTTTTGTGTGTGTGTGTTCTATGGGTTCTTTTGTTCTCGTGAGTGTTTTCTCTCGGTTCATCCTTTGAGTTCTCAGTTTGTTTTCTCCTCGTTCCATTTTTTCTGGTTTCTCTCCTTGCCATTCTCACCAATAGTTCGCCCTCTTTCCTCCAGTCTGCTCCCGCTACCTGAACCTGTTCTCACCGTCCTCAGGTGTCTGCCGACAGTAGCGGTAAAATTGTGCAAATCTAGAACTGTATGACGTAACGTGTCTTTCTTGACGGATCATGACCAATTTTTTTATGCTTTTTTACGGAGTTACATTCGTGAGAATTCTCAATTTACCATAAAAATAACGGGGGTTATACCTGTTTCTGTTTGGATGGGCGTGCATAGTTTTTAAAGTCAGTTTGGCCTCTTGATCTATGGATGTATGTTTGTACCGTTGTACTTGTTGTGGTCTAAGCTTTTTAACTGGCTAGTGGCCACTAAGTGTCGAACCAAAAAGATTTTGTTAATCAAACTATGGGCACTATGCCACTTGAAAGTCAGAACCGATTTTATTTTTTAAATTTTTTTAAAGAGTACTGACGCAGCAGGACAGGTAAAAACCACGAGGGGAGAGACGATGACAAACGGCTGGGAGAGCTATAAATAGGGAGATGAGATGTCTGAGGACGACAGCGACAGCAGATGAGTCATTAACAGGAGGCACCTGTGGACAATACCCAGACAACTGAGGACATCTAACGCACAAGAGAGATGAAACTTAAACCAAACCACCGACTAAAAGTAACTGGAGCCTTAACAGGACATACATAAGAGATGAACAGTTGAAAAAACACGAGCATGCATTTTAAACTTGTCTACAAATCATATGATGTTGGGCCCTTCTTCTTCTGCTCGGTCCTCGTCCTTTTGGTTTCATTCGACCACATTTGCACATTTCTCTCGCGACCATTGGCGTATATTGAAGATTTCTATCCAAGATTGTCCGGATAGACTCAGTTTAACGCAACAGAAGACATATTTTCTGGATGCAAGAGAATACTTGCAGTTAGTCTAACTGATAACACAACTCTTGAGGATTGCTGAAGCCTCATGGTTTTAAAATAAGTGAGTTACGAAGTTTGGGAGCACACTCAGGCCCACGGCAATATGGTGAAAATATTCTCCGAAACTTGTTAGATGTCAGTTTGTGGCCACGGGAGGTTGAGTGTCGTGGAAAACTGATAGGCACGTCAGTTCATCCTGGCAATGTAACCCGAATCTGTATGGCACCAAAAAGGAAGCATCGAAAGGCAAAAAGGCAAAGAGCTTCTCTCCAAAATGTGCTTTAAGTAGTGGATGTGCTCTGTAGTCAGATAAATCCAGGTGTTGGCATAACTCAGAGGCGTCTAGTGTTAAAAATTAAGTTAAGCAAATCCACAGATGGATCATACAGGATGAAATACTGATCAGATCTCTTCAGCCTTAGAATCCAATTTAAACTATCATAAGGTTTGTTATCTGGGTTGGGAATCAGTGTTCCACACCCAACCTTCTATTTCCAGAATATTACAAGCTCTACTCCCTCATAGCGTGGTTCAACAAGCCTGATGGACTAAATGTTTCTAGAAATGGAAGAGATTCTATGGAACATGTGTCGTGTGTGTGTTTTTGTCTTTGTTTACCACTTGATATGGTGAAAAATATTCATTTTAACAAGCAACTTTTCAGCAATCAGAGCATTTAAAACCAGTCAGAGAAAAAAAATCACTATTTTGTTTAATCAGTCACAGTGGTGCAATTTTAACAAGCACGATGATTCGCCCACATTTTTCAAATGTAGACAATGAGCTTTTTTTTTTTTACTGCATTCAAATAAATTTAAATGACCTCTGCAGAAACAATACGGATAATAACGACAATAAATGTGTTGAAACAATTCTGTTTTGCCCACAAGAGGGCTCCGTCCACTGAAAGTCGCTCCATTCTTTTATAATGGGAATTAAAAAGCAGATTCTTTTCTAGTTCTACAATCTAAAGCAAATGTTGACAAGTTAAAAATAAATCCATGTGAAGACATAATAAACACAGACAGGGTTGTTTTTTTCTGTACTTATTTCTAATGCATTTTATTCTTTATTTTTTATTTTCCTTTTTTCTCGTTTTTTTTATTTGTCCACAAAGTTATATTAGTCACTACTATGTTAGGTCAGTTTTCCCTCACTGCAATGGCAGTCAACTACACAAGAGCCCAAACTCAGCATGGTCCCTGTCACCTCGGGTAGATGTGTCCTTTTAAATCAAAAGGTTGGAGTTTTAAAAATGTACAAATTTCTAACAGGGGATTGTTTTTAGCGTTAAAAAAAAAAAATGAGGAGGAGGAATTTTTCTTTTTTTTCTGTGGGGTTGAATGACGTCTGGAGAACCAGGGGCACTAACCTCTTTACCCTTTCCAACAAACCAGCGACACTGATTTCTGATTTTTGTCTGTCGGTCTATGTTGTTGTGCCTCATGTAACACGTAAAGGCTGTGCGGTGCCCAGTCCGCTGTAAAATGTGTTGTTGGACAGCCTACTGCTGGGTATTACTTTACCAACAATACAGCATCCGTTTGCCCTTTAGGCC